GAAGGTACATTGACAGAGAAGTTCATACTCTAACCAAGATTTTCTTCACAATCATTTGGTTTTTTTTTTTAATGACGACGCACAGTGTTATTTCAGCGATCTAACGGGACAAAACTTATGTGGTCCAATATCTCGGAAACTATTAGGCCGTCGCACACGAAGCTACTCAAAAGAAACGTAATTGATTGCTGACTGAAATCACAAACTAGTTCCATATTGATTAGTAATGATTTTGAATATTTTAAGAAAAACCATCTACCGTTGTTCGCGCGGTGTAATATTACAACAAAGTCATATTTTCGGGCATTACTTGAACAAATATTGTACTTATTATTTAAACAATGATGGGGAATATGTTTTTGCTGTGATATTTAAGTTTCACTGGCTGGTACTAGTGGTCCGTAAAAGAACAAAGTATCCAGTATATAATAATTTTCAAAAAAATTCATTTTTATAAACTATGTAATTTATGAGTTTAAGTTGTAGACCCTCTTCAAGTATTTCATGGAAAATACTTTTCCTAATTTTAATTGCCACACTTAAAGTAGTCCTAAGTGTGGTCGTTTTTACGTAGAAGGCACTCTCTAAGTATTCCATAACAAATACTTCTTCAAATTATAATTATCATACTCAAAATGTCGCGAAGCATACAATTATCTATTAATCACCCTACAGACCAATAAAAATAAAATTCCTGGTCCCCCACAACTATCACAGCAACTTATTCCCACCAAAAACCTCCAAATACATCAACCTTCGATATTAAATTTAAACGAGCCTTAACGAAGCTTTTCCAGAATTCCATTTCTGCTGAGTAACGACGCATCGTAAACTCATCTTCAAAGTTGGCAGGGCGAACGTGCAAGAACTACCTTGTAGGATCCTTCGTTGCAGCTACGCTATGCATAACTGACCCTTCAAGAAAGCAAGCCCTCGCGGGATAGCTACGAGGCACCAGGGACCTCCCAAAAATTCTAACCGCAATTTATCGACCCATTCCACGCGTGCATCATCGTGTCCAGAACGATATACAACCTGGAACCAAGACTCCCGAATTAGAAACTCCATAGAAGTTTGGTAAGGCTTCTCAAACCAGCGAGAACAGTGGAGAGACGACAACTTTGTATCTGTTAACTTTGAATAATGTATTAATAAAGCGTCCCGAACTTGTTTCCCTCGTTGCAACGTTATGATTAATCTCCCTAACGTCGTTACTGCAGGCTGGATGCAGTTTTCCGCCTACCACCGGCTAATATTTCTCCTGATTAATTCATTTCTTTGTCGACGGTACTTTTCGAACTCGCTTGCTTTAACGGGAATAAAGTATGCGAGTGGTCTTGAATTTTTCAATGGAGCCCATCGAAACTTCTATTTGCGAAATACCTTCGGAGGGGCGGAGCCAGGGGAAAGGAACGCATGTTCCTGGGGATGTGTAGCGGTGGTGTTTTCGAGAGCTTTTCCTCGAGTGTAATTAAAACTTTTCGATGCTTCAGACTTTCCACGCGAGGAACCTTTTATTTTAATTTGTCCGATAATCGTGAGAGAAATTAATCCAAGCTGTCAGTATTCGCTGAAATTGTTCGTCAACTTTACATTATCGCGTTAGCGATGGGAGAGCTTTAAAAGAGAATTTTATAAGAGGACTAAGTAATTGTTAGTGTTTGGTGCATGGTTTATTTATATAATATAAGGCTGGTTATAGGACAATTATTTTTTAGTAAACGTTAAATAAATGGATTCACCTGTGGGCATGTAAGTAATAATGTTTCAAATTTTAATTAATTATCATATTAAAGTGTGAACTTGAGATTTTTAAAATAGGTTATCTGTTTGAATAATTCCATACTTAAACAAAATTGATTAATATCGTTTACAATTATGTTTACTCTGTTTGTAATCCTGTCTCATATTTTATACTCTAAAATAATATGAATTACTACAATTCTTATCATTGTGTTGTTATTAATATATCGTTAGATTATATTAATTTACATAATACAACGTTATACGGTGAATATTCGTTGATTTATATAATAATTTCTCTTTAGTAAACGTTAAATGTTTGAATTTTCTTCGGTAACAATTTCTGAATCGTTAATTAGGCTAAATCATTTTAAAAGAAGAAGACTGTAATTTAACTCAGGTGTTTAAAAAGAAGGGAACATTAATGCAATAAAGCATTTCCTACAAAAATTTGTGTGCCACTTAATGTCAACCATTCAAACAAAAAATCTAAAATTTATTTCCCCATTTTGTAACTGCCTTAATCTTAACAAATTCCTATCAAACATTTTTGCCTCAAATTCCATACATAATATAAGTAGCATTTCCACGTAGACTTACATTGTACAAGTGCATTTTAAATATAATAACATTAAAAGTACAACATAAAAACAAAGAAATGTATTTTTAACATTCATTACATTATATATATATCAAGTGTAACGTCCAGCTTTTCGGCTGTCGTTATATTTATTTGATTATAAATAAATAATAATTAATTTATTTTATGTTTCAGGTTTTATTCTAGAAAAGGGGCGATTGTGGACCGAGCGAAAATCCAGGATCGATATATATATATCTGTTACATTCATACATCTATAATGTAATATATATATATACACTTTAAATGCCATAAAAGTGTGTGCATCTCTTCATAACCACCCTAGAAATATTTGTTGACCTGTTCTATTTAATTAAAAAAGAAAACTTGAAGCTGATATTTGCACGGGTTCCCGATCTCTTTTGCATGATAAGAAGCAAGGGAAAATAATCCAGAGGGAAACCTGACGCACAAACAAAAGGGAATGACGAGAACGGTTCTCCAACGTCGACGCTTTATGACGTCTGATCATGCACTGGGCTTTACTACTGAAATCGCTGCCTGCAGCGTCACGTGCGCGCGTACGCCTAAATTACACGACGCCCACGCATCTACGTTCGAGATGAAACCATTAGCTGCACCCACGCGAATCACGCCAGCCGTAAATACCCACGGGGGTAAGGGGATGATTTGCAAATTTATTTTCCGTTCTGAAATACACGCCACGGCGGAGAATCCTGCTCGCGTTTTCATTCAGCACTCCCAGTTAATTTAAATGAATTTATTCAATGCAGTCGGCGAGGTTCGCGTCGTAACCAGATTCCGTGGAAGTAAGTAGCACGATTGTGAGAGGGATCCGGGGACTCGAAAGGTGCTACCTTGAGGAAAATAAGATACGACGTCTGAGGCGATGCGCGAGCGTGATGTTTAATATTATTCATTATCGAAGGGCTTATTTTCGAGTCGTTTTATATTCGTATTCTGCGAAATGGAGATTATATTCTACGGAGCTTTCTATAGGGTATCTGAATGAAAATTAAATACGTTGCTTTTGGTCGGCGGAAGCTATTAATTCTGAAAGATTTCAAGTTTTTGGTTCAGAGAAACCAATAATTATTAACTACTGGCATATTGAAAAATGGCTGTAATAAATGAGTCTTTTATTCATTTTAATGTCTACGTTTATTCAACGGCTCGGAAGGACGTGTTCACAGTTTAAGAAACGGACGAGAACTGAACCTGAAAACTCAGGCCTACGAGGTAGAGAAATCCACTTAAAGAAAGAAAATTTTGCCTACGCTCTGTTTATTGCCCTGGCCTTCGACGACAAACAGTCAAGGGTCCTCAGACCTGGTGGTGCCAGTCCGATACTTCAACTTACAGTGAAAAGGGCAGTGTCTCACAACGCTAGATTCATTTTTGTTGAACTCAAATTATATGTATATAATTCAACATGGCATGATGTATAATTAATGATTAAACGAACTTACCAAGTGAAGTTCAATCATGATTGTATGATGCGTCTCTTCCGAAGAGATTATAATTGTAGTACCTCTTATTGTCCTCAGTGTCGCCACAAATTTTAAAGCTTAGGGAAAAATTGTTTCCCTATTCTCCGCAGTCTCGTACGCCGTTCGCGCGTCCGTGATCAACTTCATTCTTGAAAGCCTTGCCGTAACCACAATTACGGGTATCTCCCTCGAGATGCATGGGAGGGAGGGACTGATCTCTTCGGAAGAGGCGCATCATACAATCATGATTGAACTTCACTTGGTAAGTTCGTTTAATCATCAATTGTATTTCGCGCCTCTTCCTTGAGATCATAATTGTAGTTGTTTAAAGTTAGTTACGGCAACAAATTGACACGATAACATATATTTATGTGTGTTTTACCAATTTTTTTTTTTTTTTTAATAAACAAACCAGGAACTTTCAAAACAAAATACAATGCTATTCTTTTAAAAATAATTGCCTTTCGAAAAAGGACTTAACATTCTAACACCGCCTCTGCAAATCGGCCAGTTTCTGAAGAAACGCAACGATCATAAAAACGAGCGAAAGTTTCGGAATCTTACGACCAACCTGCCGTTTTCCGTATTACATCAATGTTCACACCTTGTCTTTTTGCCGCTGATGTAGCAGCGTGTCGCGTACTATAAGCCAAAAACGTGTTAACATTTATGCCACTTTTAGTCAAAACGCTCTTTATCCACCTGCTTAGAGTTTGAGTGCCCACCACTTTGTGTGGTTTCTTAAATGATATAAATAATTTAACTACCGATCTACGTAGTTCTTTGGTTCTGTCTAAATAGGACAACAACGTTGAAGCTGCGCATACGGACTTATCTTGTAAATAGAACGGCAGTCTTAGTACTGGCTGTTTTTTCCCCGGGCCCAAAGTCTTAATGGTATCGGGAATTTTAATATCCAACGTATTCTGACTTGATCTATAAATATTCCGCGTATCAATTAACGACAGAGTTTGCATACGGTGCCCCGTAACTAAAGCCAACAATGTCACAAGCTTGAGCGTTCGTCGTTCTAAGCTATTCTCATCGTCGGGATACCACTTCGATAAATATTTTAACACATTTCGGGGGTCCCAGGTCGAGTCATACCTCGGTGCTGCTGGCCTTAATTTTGCGACTCTGTAACCATTTAACGAGCTATGCGAGGCTCCTTTGTCAAATTCCACTGTGAGAAACTTCAACATCTCACTTGTGGAACCTGTAAACGGGTCAATTTCTTCTCCCGCGCAAAATTCCCACCATTTTCTTAGGCCCGATTCATATTGGCGAAGCGAAGATTCTGATAATGAGGCTGTCAATATCTTGACCGATTCCAGTGGTACCTTTCTCCTAATGAACGCTTCCCCGATAATTTGGCGGCAATTAGTGTAAGCCGTTGCCACAAGGGATGTTCCTCCCTGCTGGAAGAACAAATTAAATTAATGTTGGGCTGGAAAATAATCGGTTCTTCCTGTAATAATGATAGATAAACAGGGAACCAAGGCTGGGCTTCCCAGTATGGTACCACTATTATGCCAATTGATTCTTCACGTTATATTTTCCTCAACATTCTTAGAATTACTAAAAAGGGAGGGAACGTGTAAAAGAACCATTTTTTCCAGCCTAACGTGAAGGCATCTATGCCAATCGAGTCTGGATCCCTCTGCCAAGATACATAACGTTTACATTTCGCGTTCACTCTACTTGCAAACAAATCTGCTTGTGGGATGTCAAAATATCTAACGATCTTTTGAAATGCACTCTTGGATAACTCAAATTCAGTTTCTGGTTGTAATCTCCGTGACTCATAATTGGCTTCGACGTTTTCACTAGAACGTATATACGCTGCCGAAATCCAAATTTCTCTTCGTTCGCACCATTGCCAAAGTTCCCTGGCCAGTGCACTAAGATCCTCATGACGATTATCTTTCATTTTATTTATGTATGCGATTGCCGTCGTATTGTCTATTCTTAACAAAATACTACTTCGTCGTACGTCATTCGCGAAGCATTTTAATCCAAAAAACGCCGCTTTAAGTTCCAAGACATTTATGTGTAATTTTAAATCACCTGTATTCCAAAACCCGTGACAACGTCGGTTTTTACAGAAAACGCCCTACCCTGTACGTGAAGCATCCGAAAATATTTCGAATTCGAATTCTGGTTCATCTATTGGCGCACTCGCGGAGCGGATATTATCTTCCCACCACGTAAAATCCTCGTTTGACTCTCTTGGAATAAACATTTGTGCGTTAAAATTATTATTATTAATTTCAAGCGCGTAAGCTCGTACCTTTTCGAACCGTCTTATATACACCATCCCATATTTCAACGCCGGACAACGCGAAACTAAAGTCCCTACGAAAACCGCGAATTCTCTTATACTGCACCGGGTAGTTGTACTGAACTTCCGAGTGAGTTCGACGGTTCGTAGAACTATGTCCTTAGGTAATTCTATGGACATTTTTACCGAATCAAAAATTAGTCCCAAATATTTACACCGTTGCGTGAGAATCGCGCGACTTTTTTTCGTTATTAATTATAAATCCCAAGTCCTGCAAAAGTGTTACAGATTCGCGAACATTGTCAAGACATTTCTCGTTCGATTAATCGATAATAAGGATGTCATCGAGATAAAATACAGAAGTAAATATTCTTTTTCTCAGGTATGCTGCCACCGGCTTCAATAATTTTGTGAAAACATACGGTGCTACATTTAAGCCGAACGGTAAACAGGTAAACTCAAATAGTTCTCCCTTATACAAGAACCGTAAAAATTTTCTGAACTTCTTCTCGATTGGAACCAAATAGTAGGCGTCCTTTAAGTCTATCGTTGCCATAAAATTATTGCGACAAATTAATTTCTTCGCTACCTTCCAGTTTTCGATTTTAAAATGCTCAACGTGAATGAACTCGTTAAGACTCTTAAGATTTAGTATCATTCTGAATGTACTATCCGGCTTAGGAATTAAAAATATATTCGACAAAAATTGTCCTTTTGACGTAGAGCATTTTTCGATAGCGCCTTTAGAGATTAATTTATTAATTTGTTTTTCGATTAAACCATGTTCGTGGTTGGACCATGTGGGTTCGATCGGAGGCCGGTCTTGTCTCGGATACGACGTGAAGGGTATCACAAAACCCTGAACCCATTTATGGATCATCGAGTCTTTGGTTACCTTTGACCAAGCCTTACCAAATAATCTTAACCGCCCTGTTGGTTTACCTACATCTTCCGATGAGATTAACGACGTCCCCTGTATTGATGACTCGATCCTTTGCGGTATGCAGACTTCTTTGTCTCCGTCTTGTTGGATGCTGCATGATGACGCCCGCTCGACGTCGTTAGATATTTATTAAACGTCGGTTGACGTGGCGGGCCCTTCCAGTTTTTTGTCTTCTTTTGTGCATTACTCTGTTGCGGAAGTTTTCTTACAGGTCTCAAATCCTTTGATGTTCGTTCCAAATTCTTAGCCGTCTTTATTTTTTCTTCTAAATCCGTACCAAAAAGCCACTCATCGACCGAAGTGTCGGAGAGAGTGTTCTTCAAGGACGAATTCAAACTCGCTAGAATAAGCCCTTTACGAGCCAGAGAATCCTCTTGGTGCACCGATGCGAGAAGTCTCCCCATATCGCTTAATTTTTCCAGCAACTCAAGTTTCTGAGAACTGTCCAACTTCAATGATATCGAGATCGCTTTACCCAACGCTGCTAGACATGCGGCGATGCGTTCTTGCTTCTCAACAATACGGTGATCTCTTTTAATAACGCCTTCTTGTACTGAAACCATAATTTCGGCGTTTAGTTTCGGTACCCCGATAAAAAAGCAATTTTCTGGCGGTGGGTATTTCCTCAACAGAGCGTTGACCTCCTCTTCCGGCAGACCTTTTTTCAAAACCTCCGACCACCGGAGAGCTAGGTCCTTGTGCACCGCAGCAGCGGTTTTCTTATCTGCCTCGAGGCGCGTCCCAAACACGTTCAAAATTTCCTCTTGTAACTCTACTTCATGTTCGGGAACTTCTGCCGTCTCGACCGCCGATGATTCTTTAATCTCGCTGTCCATCTCTGTCCTCGAAACCGGTATCTCACAGATACACGATGATTGACTCGATTTTGTTGACCGAGAAACAGACGACTGTCTCGATGTGTATCGAGAACTAGAGCGTGATCTACCAAAAACTCTAAAATCGAAATTATCTCTCGAATAACTCGATGAGCGTCGACCTCCTGATGAGCGTCCTCGAGATACTGACCAAAGTATCTCACGATCCAGCGAGTGTCTCGAACTATGGCGATGGCGTGAGCGACTACGTAACCCCGAACTTTTACCTGAAAACCATCGAATCGAGTTCCAATAACCTGTCTATTCCATTTTGTATCAACAACGTGAAGTTTGATGAAACAAGCCACACACGTCTCCAAGACGCGTTTAAAGGTTACAAACCCCGGCCGTCTTAAATTTATGTACTATTTTCTTTCGTCACCCGAAAGATGTGCGTTTGGTAAGAGTCGAAGCACTCTGCACAACGACACAGCCGCTGGCAGAATCAACGGATGTCGATACAGTACTCGAAACAAGAATTTACAAAATTCTGTTTCGAAGAGTCTCTTATCCCACGGACCAAAGAAGTGGAGTTACCTCCCGACTTACGCTAATCATCCTTCCTTCGATGCAATTTCTCCTCTAGTCTACGAATTTTTCGATAGAGTCTGTCGTTCTCCTTATCCTCATCCATCGACGACGTCCTCTTCCTATCTTTTCGTCCCAAAATATAATATTCTGTAATTCGTTACTCAGTCTACGTGTGAAGACACTGACACAAAGCGAAAGAATGAAGTTGGTCGCGGACGCGCGAACGGCGTACGAGACTGCGGAGTATAGGGAAACAATTTTTCCCTAAGCTTTAAATTTGTGGCGACACTGAGGACAATGAGAGGTACTACAATTATGATCTCAAGGAAGAGGCGCGAAATACAATTTGACGTAAACATTTTTTATCATTTCATGGTTTTCTTGAGGTGTTCAATAATGTAAATACCATAATTCACAAGAAAGGAAAATAAATTATGTTAATGCATACATAAACGAAATTCTAATTAGGAATTTGAAAGTGAAGAACTGTATTCAAGTACGAACTTAGTTTCTTCGATTATTGTTTATTTCATTGCATTATTGCACACATTGATTATGGGATGGTTGAAAACTCAAAACCTTTGTGTCAAATTGAAAAGATAATCAAAATTCTGTAAAATGTACAATATGATTCAGCGGAACAATGACAATGCACAACAATGTGATGTGAGCAGAGCAACTGCAGTATGAAACGAAATTACTGCGTAATAACAAATGTTGATACAATGGAACAGTGAAATCGTGCTATTATTGGAAATATGCGAGCTGACAACATCGAACAATAAAAACTTAATAACCCAATCTACGAAACGTAAACCTTGCAATATAGTTTATCGCACAATAAGGTTTATGTTCCTTAGGTAAACCTTATTGTAAGTTTCATGCTCCTTACATTGCGTTATTAAGTTTTTATTGTTGGATGCCATTGCAATATCCACTGCGTGTTTTCCCTCCATGGCACAGTTTTTCAGTACAACGATTTACGAGAAATAATATAATTCTAATTAAGTTTTATTTGCTTTTGTTACATTGTACCTCAAGACTAGCGACAATTTTTTTATACCATCAGATCATCTATGTTGATTTTGATTTGGTTACACCAAGACCAATGCAAATTATATCACTACAAATTTAGTGAAATGTTCGGCTTCTATTATTATTCAATTCTTCTATTTTGTATTTTAATTCTCGTTTATAGTATGGGTAACACTTTACCCGAATAAACACAACAGCAAGAGAGACACTTTCTAATTAATATTAGGTACCGGAAAAAGTTCGTGCGGTTTATTCGTTAATTGTAACTATATATCGATTTTCGTGTGGTAATCGGCAACTGTAAGACATGAGTTTGGTTTCATTTTAAAGCTTGATCTTTGTAATTGGTATACATGCTCTGTGGAGTTTAATTGTTTCGTTATTGTGTAGCTATAAGAACAGTAAACATGGATAGCGAAAGAGTAAAAATTCGTGCTTTTATTCTTTACGAATTTAAACTTGGCAGTAAAACAGCAAATGCAGCAAGACGCATTTGTAGCGTTTGTGGGGAAGGTGCTGTTAGTAAAAGGACCGCACAGAAATGGTTTAAAAGGTTCAAAGAAGGAAATGAATCGGTAGATGACGAATCGCGTTCAGGGCGTCCATCTGTCATCGAAGACGAAAAATTCATCGAGTACGTAAGTTCAAATCCAAAAAAAAGATGTTCTGAGCTTGCTCAAGTATTCGAATGTGAAGAATCTACCGCGAGAAAGCAAATTCATTTACTTAATTTTCATGAAAGATTGGGCAAATGGATACCGCACCGTTTAACGGAAGAGAACAAATATTCCCGGCTGAGCATTTGCTATATCCATTTATCGATCGAATTTTAACTTGTGATAAAAAGTGAGTGAAATATGATAATGTACGACGATCACACCACTGGGTTCAAAAGGGGTCATGTGCAACAGGAACCATACCAAAATCAAGTCTCCATTTGAAGAAGGTGCTGATCACTGTTTGGTGGACTACACGAGGTATCGTTCACGTTGATTTTCTTCCACGTGGCAGACTATTACTACAGATACTTATTGCAAAGAAATTGATGAAGTCATTGATGAAACTGACGATAAATGGTGATTATTTTGTTGAATAAACCTATGATTTAAAACAGATTTGAGTATTTGTATTTTACTCTGAAAATCCGCACGAACTTTTTCCGGTATCTAATACAATCATCGATACTCACAAAAACACAGGAATTTCTCAATTTAATCACACGCGTGAAACTCCGAATAATTCCAGCCACAAGAAGAACATATTTGTCACTGAAAGAAAAAAAGAGGTCAAAGTACTCCTCGTCGTTTCGCTTTATGGCGACCCTGGAACTGCTATACCACTTTTGGCGCGATACCAAACGCCCGGAGTGTCATCTGTGACAGTCAGCCGAATAATAAAAATAACAATAAGCCCCCGACTCTGATGCAAGCGTATCGAAACGGTTGCTCATACAAGAAACACGCGTTGTCGTCGCGGAAGTTAGCGTTCACTGGATTACGAACTGGTAACGCGGTTAACTTCGCGTCGTCTTAAGCCTCGGGGTCGAAGAACGAAGTTTCCTTTGAAGTTTCCTTTGAAACTTTAAGGATTGGATTCGATAAACAATGAACTTCCCAAGGCGCGGCCGAACTCCCAGCGCATGAGCATACGAGCGGAAAATACCACGTTAACGAGCGACATCGCTTTAATGTTAATTCGGTTTCGTCGTTAACCCTCTGCAACTCAAATTACGTTCCCCTTCTAGGAGGGGCGAGGGGGCGATACAGGATACACCGAAGAGGGATGACGACGAAAAATTAATTGAAAGATGCAATTTTGATGGATTCCATCGATGAAGACTCGGTCTTCTGTGTGTGAGTTTCAGGCTAATGTGGTCTGATAACCACTGATAATGGAATATGGATTGAAATATATATTTTAATGAATATAATTGCGGTAATGTAATCTAAGTACGATGTGATCAAAATAAACTCTTAATATTAGAATATAAGCTCATAAATAGTTTGTTAATTCATTGACGATAAAAATAATCGAAATTATTTTCATCCAGATATACCTACAAACTTGCATATCATAATTAGAGTAAGGCAATATTCTATTTCACTTTAATATAAACATACATTGATATACAGTTAATAATAAAGTACTAGTGATTCATTTTCAAAAAACATTGGATTCAATATTTATAACGTATTCAGTAACATTTAGTATTCGTTTAATTATTAATAACTGTAAAATTTACTTTTTGAGAATGAAAATACTTTCTCGAATAACTGATTATGTCAACTTTAAAATTGATTACAGTGAGTGTAGAATGTATTCGTACACCGATCAATTTACAAAAAAACTTTTGTGTGAAGTTGTAGTTTCCTAACTTCTTTTTTTATAATCAATGATATTTTACATATTCTCGGAAATCTCTAAAATAGATATAGTTCAAACAACATTTACTAGTTTACTAGTTAATATAATGTGTGAAATTAACAAAAAGAATGCGAAAAGTGGGTAAAAGTGTAGAAGCAATAAGTATTTGTATGATTCGTATGACGAACCATTTATAGTAGAGTTTGTAACGTAAACATATTAGTTTATTGCTCCGTACGAATTAGAAAACATCAAATTTCCAGTAAAGTACTTTTAAAAATGGCTGTAATAGAGAAATTGAAGAAGATTCCACTTCGAATAACTTAAAATTTAGTTAATTTAATGCTTAGAAGAGTTGCAATAATTATAAAATCAAAAGGAAATTCCACGAAGGAAGTATTATATAGTTCTAAATTAATGTAAATTTCTTTTTTTTTTAATCAAGGTTTAAGAATTTTACAGTTGTGCGAATACTTATTGCTTAAATATTTCTATCGACTAATTGTTTTTTTCTTGTTAATTTTGCAATTTACATAAATAGCTATTTTTTTTGTAATCTATCTAGAGATTTCCGAGAATATGTAAAATGCCATTGTTTACATAAAAGAACTCGATAAATTACATTTTTACATAGTTTTTGTGGTAATTAATATAATTTACACCCACTGTAAATGCACGATATATTTTACGTGTTTAAGTTAGGTAGATATTTTTGTCAGAAATTATATCACGTATTAGAATAAAATAATTCCGATATCTAAACGATGGAAATTCAATGTTTATCCACGTATCAGTTTCTCCAGCAGAGTGTCGATGGAAAAACTACTAAATTACAAAATTTCACGAAGCCCGAAGACACACCTCGGAGTCAGCGAAGTTCTCGAAGAAAGGATCGAGTTCCTTCGACAGGCAGCGAATTTTTTTTTTTTTAACTCGCTGCTCTCGGAGCGGCGTGGTTTGTTCGAACTTTGACGTCTCGTAGTGCCTGGAACAATTCCAGTTCCGCGAATCGCGACTGCACCGTAACTTTATAAAATAATATTGATGTTCCAACGTAACTGCGCGTCGCGGGAGAGGCGTATTTTCGAAGACAAATAGATCCCGCGACGTTGAAACCGGTGGATAATTCTTGAATGTTTCGCAAGAGTTTCCTAGTCCACATGGTTCCTGTTTCCGCTGACGCGTTTCCATCGTCTTATTCT